AAAACATACCTTATAATTATCGCCTACCTAAAATTTACAAATACATAATCAAATTAATAACTTAAGTATAATAACGCATAGGCGTCAACTTTACGCTTGGCATAATGGGCATTGAGCGATACCCGCGCTCTATACCTTGCTTATTTGTACTCTAAGTTCTGAATACTCTTTATCTATTGTTCTAATCTGTTACCGTGTAGTGGCGGTCAAGATTATCCACTACCCCATATCCTCCCGTGGGTGTCGTAAAAGGCGACAAAGGGAAACAGGCAGGAGATGGGCAGCAGCATCTTCTTGATAACAACAAACTAACAATAAAAAAAAACTGCGGTTGCCAACCCGCTCGCCAAGCGTGGCAACTATGGCAAATACCCCCCTATGAATGACAGTAACAAAGAAACGGCCCCCAGTCCCCGGCGGCCCCGCTATTCCTGGCTACGGTGGCGACCATGGTAACGGCGGGGCAGGGGGTGCTAAGAATCTCCGGTGGAGGTTCGGTTGCCACCTTAGACGACTCGACCTGGCAACGTACAACGCACGCACCCTGAGGACTGACGAGAAGATCGTGGAGCTGGAAGAAGAGATAGACAAGTTGCGCTGGCATATTATAGGATTATCCGAAGTCCGAAGAGAGGGGGAGGACACGGTAATCCTCGAATCCGGCAACTTGCTCTATCACCGGGAGGGCGACCATCTGTCCCAAGGAGGTGTCGGATTTATCGTCCACAAGTCTCTCGTTAACAACGTTGTAAAGATCGGGAGTGTGTCGACGAGGGTTGCGTACCTTATACTCAGAATCACCAAACGGTATTCGCTGAAGGTCGTACAGGTTTACGCACCAACCTCGGCACACCCCGATGAGGAGGTGGAGGAAATGTATGAGGATATCTCTAGAGCCATGCATTCCTCCAAAACCCAATATACGGTGTTAATGGGAGACTTTAATGCAAAACTAGGCACAAGAGAGAACGGTGAGCTGAAAGTAGGGAAATTTGGAATAGGGCAACGGAACCCAAGGGGCCAGCAGCTGGCCGACTTCATGGAGAAAGAGGGACTCTTTATGATGAACTCTTTCTTCCAGAAGCGGCCCCACAGGAAGTGGACCTGGTCGAGCCCCGACGGTTCGACAAAAAATGAGATTGACTTCATTATAACGACCAGACGACAACTGTTCAGTGATGTCTCCGTGATCGCGAGGGTGAAAACTGGTAGCGATCACCGAATGGTTAGAGGCACACTGAACCTAAACGTTAAGTTGGAGAGGTCTCGTCTAATGAAGTCAACGCTCCGTCCCCCTCGTGCTCTAATCCAGAGTCCCGAAACCTTTCAGCTCGAGTTACAAAACCGTTTTCAGTGCCTAGAAGACTGCAATGAAGTGGACGATATGAATGACAAGCTCGTGGAAACTGTCCATGCGGTCGGAGCTAAGTTCTGCAAGACCCGCCGCAGAAGAACACAAAAACTCTCCGATCACACTTAATCTCATGGCTGTTAGACGGGAGATGAAGCTACATTCTTCAACAGACTTGACAGCATACAGGCATCTCAACAGACAGATCTCCAAATGCATGCGGCGGGACTTACGCAACTTCAATACAGCTCGTATTGAAGAAGCGATCGAGCGGAACCAAGGCTCCAAAGTCTTTGCCAGAGATCTGTCTGCCAGAAAGAGCCAACTGTCAAAGCTGAAGACAAAATGTGGCAGCATCGTTTCCGGGACATCTGAGATTTTGAGTGAGATTGAGAGGTTCTATGGGCAGTTGTACACGTCATCGTTGGAGCCACACGCAACTGTGAGTAACGATCCAAGAGCGAGTCTCATCCGACACTATTCCGAAGATATCCCGGACGTCAGTCTGAGCGAGATTAGAATGGCTCTCCAGCACCTTAAAAACGGTAAGGCCCCAGGCGAGGATGGAATTACAGCGGAGCTTCTGAAAGCGGGTGGAAAACCGGTACTTGAAGTCCTTCAGAAGCTCTTTAATTCCGTCCTCCATGGTGGCATTACACCGGAGGCGTGGAGCAGAAGTGCGGTGGTCTTGTTCTTCAAGAAAGGTGACAACGCTCTCTTGAAGAACTACAGACCGATTTCCCTTCTGAGCCGCGTCTACGTGCTGTTTTCGAGAGTCTTTACGAATCGTCTCGCGCGCAGACTTGACGACTTCCAGCCTCCCGAACAAGCCGGTTTCCGAAAGGGCTTTAGCACCATAGACCACATACATACCCTTCGGCAAGTTGTACAGAAGTCCGAAGAGTACAATTTGCCACTATGTCTGGCGTATGTGGACTATGAGAAAGCCTTTGATTCCGTCGAAATTTGGGCGGTGCTGCAGTCCCATCAGCGGTGCCAAGTTGACTGTCGGTATATCGAAGTGTCGAAGTGCTTGTACAGTAGGGCTACGATGGCTATCCGAGTACAGAACCAGAGTACGAAACCTATCCAATTGCAGAGAGGTGTACGACAGGGTGACGTCATATCCCCGAAACTCTTCACCGCTACATTGGAAGACGTTTTCAAGCTTCTGGACTGGAAAGGATACGGTATCAACATCAATGGCGAGTACATCACTCACCTTCGATTTGCCGACGATATAGTCCTTATGGCAGAATCGCTGGAGGACCTAAGCACTATGCTCAATGACCTCAATAGTGTTTCCCAACGGATAGGTCTTAAGATGAACATGGACAAAACTAAGATCATGTTTAATGTCCATGTCACACCTATGCCGGTAGTTGTTGGGAACACTAAGCTCGAAGTTGTTGACGAGTATGTTTACCTGGGACAAATAGTCCGACTAGGTAAGTCCAACTTCGACCGAGAGGTCAATCGACGGATTCAACTCGGTTGGGCAGCGTTCGGGAAATTACGGCACATCTTCTCGTCAGGTATACCTCAAACCTTGAAAACGAGACTGTACACCCAGTGCGTGTTGCCAGTAATGACATAGGGAACTGAAACGTGGTCCTTCACTGCTGGCCGGATGAGGAAGCTCAAGGTCGCTCAGCGAGCTATGGAGAGGGCTATGCTCGGAGTTTCTCTGCGTGATAAACTTAGGAATGAGGATATCCGCAGTAGAACCAGAGTAACCGACATAGCCCAACGGATTAGTAAGCTGAAGTGGCAATGGGCCGGCCATATAGCTCGAAGAACCGACAACCGATAGGGAAGAAAGGTTCTCGAGTGGCAGCCTCGTACCGGTAGGCGATATGGCGTCCCCCCACGAGATGGAGTGACGACCTGGTAAGACATGCAGGAAGTCGATGGATGCAGGTGGATCAGGACCGTGCTTTGTGGCATTTTTTGGGGGAGGCCTATGTTCAGCAGTGGACTTGTGAAGGGCTGTAATGATGATGATGATGATGATTGTTCTAAGGTGTCCCTTAATTAAATTGAATTATTATATACTCTTTGGAGGGGTTCTTAGTAATAAATCCATTTGGATTTTTCGGGTTGAAGAGTTAAATTAGATTGTTTAGTGCGATTGCCAAGTCAATCTATGTATCAATCTATGGAATGAATAAATTAACCGACTTGGATCACAACTTTTTACGGTAGAAGAACTGAGTGGCGAGACTTGGCTTTTTTTACAAGTTATGTTTTTGATGGCATCTCATTTCTTTTTGTAGATAGTTATATCTAGGTAGCTATTTACACCTATTATTCCATTATACATATATAGGTACACTGATTCATTCACTGCAGATGTAACTTTGTAATACTATATGTTTATATGGGATTACAAAGTTATTTATGCAGTTGGTGTATCTCGAAAACTGGACCGAAATTGTAAAATATTTAAATTTTTCCTTGATTTATATATTAAACAATAATTGTATTCCAAATTTGAAGTTTCTATGTCTGCTAGAAGTGCCATAGAGTTTTGATGATGGGTCAGTCAGTGAGTGACAAAATTAAGAAACTTTGAGTAGTTATAATTCTTAAACTACTAGTTCAAATTTAATGAAATTTGAAATATACCGAGTTTATACAATGCCTACTTGGTTAATTCAGGCTTCTAGTTTTATCCACAACGAAGTTATAGGGTATCGGAAATTGCCTGAACTGCTTCGAGAAAAGGATGGTACCGGCCGTGCCGCTTTTTTGCTCGATTTGGGGGGGGGCACTGCCGTGCCCCCAGATGAGGCAAAAATGCTGATCGGGCGATTTGTGCGATTGCACCGTACATATAATATATACCGCAGCACAATTTTATTGAAGTTGGGTTAATTTATTTTGAATCGAGAAAGTTTGTTTCCTTCAACATATCAATTAAGTCCCATTATCTGTTCGTTTTACTTGTGTAAATTAATATTCTCTTTTAAAGAATTCTAGTATCGCTATTAACCTTACTTAAACACTCTAAGCTAAAAAATGCTTGTGTTATGAGTGCTTCGCCTCTCCGAGTTTGCTGACCATACCCTAACATTAGATTAACGTCGCCTTCATTAAGCCAAAGTTACTCTATAAACATGCTACTGATAGTAGGGGAGCCCAAGAGGGGATTTTTTGGATTTACTCAAGCGCGTCATATTAAAGTAAGTTACGAGCTAAAAAGAGTGCATTTAGAAAATCTGACGATTTCTCCTATCAACTTATCTACAAAATCTAACAGGTCCCCACGACGCTCGACTAAATTCCCATTTAGCATCATGGGCTCCCCTGCTATGAGGCAAAACAACATTAAGGTGCTTACACACAAGATTTCTACGCGATAAGCGAAAGATCGGCAGGATAAAGTAAGGACCACGCTCGCAGAATACTAACAATAAATATACCGGTGTTTAACGACCAGAGACTTTTTACTGAAAACAAGGCATTTCGCCTTAGCCGCAGGGACGGTGGGCATTTACTTCTCGATATCTTTCTTGTCACTTACTAATTCACTTATAAAATCATTAACACAGTTCAGAAATAATTTCTTTAAAATTACTATGAAAATAACAAACACGATTTCGATGAAATGATCATTTGGTTTAAATCTCAAACGTGATACGGTGCCCTATAATAGTGCAATGCAAAGTGTATGCTGGCGGTGCTGCGACGGCGTGGTGAAGCGGCGCGGGCACACGCGCACTGGTACGCACTGGAACGCGCTGGTACGCGGCGGGTACCTCTTGGGGCAGAGCGTGCACGCGTAGGGCCGGTCGGGCGCGTGGCGGCGCGCGTGCAGGCGGTGCTGCGACGACGTGGTGAAGCGGCGCGGGCACACGCGCACCGGTACGCACTGGAACGCGCTGGTACGCGGCGGGTACCTCTTGGGGCAGAGCGTGCACGCGTAGGGCCGGTCGGGCGCGTGGCGGCGCGCGTGCAGGCGGTGCTGCGACGACGTGGTGAAGCGGCGCGGGCACACGCGCACCGGTACGCACTGGAACGCGCTGGTACGCGGCGGGTACCTCTTGGGGCAGAGCGTGCACGCGTAGGGCCGGTCGGGCGCGTGGCGGCGCGCGTGCAGGCGGTGCTGCGACGACGTGGTGAAGCGGCGCGGGCACACGCGCACCGGTACGCACTGGAACGCGCTGGTACGCGGCGGGTACCTCTTGGGGCAGAGCGTGCACGCGTAGGGCCGGTCGGGCGCGTGGCGGCGCGCGTGCAGGCGGTGCTGCGACGACGTGGTGAAGCGGCGCGGGCACACGCGCACCGGTACGCACTGGAACGCGCTGGTACGCGGCGGGTACCTCTTGGGGCAGAGCGTGCACGCGTAGGGCCGGTCGGGCGCGTGGCGGCGCGCGTGCAGGCGGTGCTGCGACGACGTGGTGAAGCGGCGCGGGCACACGCGCACCGGTACGCACTGGAACGCGCTGGTACGCGGCGGGTACCTCTTGGGGCAGAGCGTGCACGCGTAGGGCCGGTCGGGCGCGTGGCGGCGCGCGTGCAGGCGGTGCTGCGACGACGTGGTGAAGCGGCGCGGGCACACGCGCACCGGTACGCACTGGAACGCGCTGGTACGCGGCGGGTACCTCTTGGGGCAGAGCGTGCACGCGTAGGGCCGGTCGGGCGCGTGGCGGCGCGCGTGCAGGCGGTGCTGCGACGACGTGGTGAAGCGGCGCGGGCACACGCGCACCGGTACGCACTGGAACGCGCTGGTACGCGGCGGGTACCTCTTGGGGCAGAGCGTGCACGCGTAGGGCCGGTCGGGCGCGTGGCGGCGTGCGTGCAGGCGGTGCTGCGACGACGTGGTGAAGCGGCGCGGGCACCACGCGCACTGGTACGGCTTCTCGCCCGTGTGGATCCGCTCGTGCTCAGACAGGTTGCCCTTCTGGCTGAAGCTCTTACCGCACTGCTTGCACGAGTACGGTTTCACGCCTGCAATGTGTTATAAAAGAATTTAAAACTACTACTAATCTCAAGTTGTCAACTTTTGTTTTTAGAGGAGAAGGGGCAAACGAGCATGCGGCTCACCTAAGTGAGTGACTACCGCTGCCCATGAACAACTGCAATACCCCGGGAATTGCAGGTGCCTTTTAAAGCGTCTTTTAAAAAAGGTCCCTAAGTCGTTTCAATTAGAGGCCAAAACAATATCGTTTTTACCCGACATCCTTAACCAAACTGTATAAAACAAATATATACAAGTAGAAGACGAACATACAAACTTTTCTCCAAACAACCTCGGAAATGCAAAGTAACAGTCAAGTTTCTGGCGACCAACTTATGGTGAAAAGTCCACGCCATACCAAAATTCTACAGACAGGTGATGGGTAGCATCATTACCAATGCTGAGTATTAGTTCATCGATCACCAACTTGCGATAGGAAAGCGCTGTTCAGCTAATTGTTAAACGAAAATATGCTGTAAACTTGACATATGCATTGACAATCACAATTTTAAACATCTTGCATCTTCGACTCTCCAACTTGCCAGGATCTGGATGTTTTATATCTGGTATATACAAAATGTCACTATATTATATACAACATATTAACTTCCCTTTCACACTAACCTGTATGCCATCTCATATGTAGAGTAAGACTAGTTTTGTGTGCAAACTTATGTTTGCAAATCTCGCAGCTGAACTTCTTTACGCCGCTATGGAGTAGCTGATGGTTGAGCAAATTTGCCTTCGTCTTGAATGTTGCGTTGCATGACTGAAATTTAAGTCTATGGTTTCAATATCGAAAATGTGAAATGGAAATTTGCTACGCTGACTTGTGGAGAAAACTCCGAAATCTCTAATTTATATGAATAATACTTTAGTATTAGCAATATTAGTTATTTAAATTTAGTAGGAAGATAATACCAAGTAATACACCAAGGTCAATGATATGAGATAAAGAGTGTACATAACTAGATTTCTTATGTGCTTAATTTTATTTATAAATTTTAAATAAAATTCAATATCAACATTATATAAAAAAGGTTTTTTGGAGTTCAGACTCAGAATCAATTACACTCATTGGAAATATATGTATTTTACCGTCAAACAGCAATAAAACTAACTACAAAATCAATATAAAAACAAACCTACATCAAAATGGAAACAATGAGTAACACATAAGTCTGCATACAAAAATAAATTTATAATTAGTAAAAAATCAATAAGTCGGCGAAAAACATGAGAACTAAATTTTATAATATGGAATTTCACAGCAAATGTCAAATTACGAGGAACTAACCGCAGCAAGGATTCTTTCGTGAAAATTATTTATGTATTTATGTGGCCCATAGACATCTATATTATCTGTCTTTGATTAAGAATCAAAGTGTAGATGCAGGGGTAACACCCATGAAGCAAATACAAAGAGGAGACGGCATAAGCAACTGTGCACTGTGATTCTAAGTAGGTCCTGACGTCATCATTGTGGGCGTGGCTTTAGTTAGTATACTGTCAACCTTCGTCCTGTGCGCTTATTTGTTGAAAATCACAAATCCGTGTATTTTCGTAGTATTAAGAAGAAAAGGATAAAGTGTTGTGTTTTATCGTGTAAAACCTACTCAGATAGACCGCTCTAATGCTATGGAGGGCATCACGTTTCATTTGTAAGTAATTTTACACCTAATTTATTAAACTAGTTCTAGAAAAATCTCTTTGCGTCGGCTTTTAAAATATGATTAAATATATTCGACACTAGATGGCGACACTTTGTGTCATATGAACTAAAAATAAAAGGTACGTAGAGCTCAGTATTGGTAAAATAATCATAAGGTGCTGAAATTTGTTTTGCATTCAGAAATTTTAATCGTCAAAACATTATTTTTATAGTTTATAACCATTTTGTGAACCATCTATCGTCAAGATAGCTAAAATACGTTGCAACATCGATATGGAACGATTCGAGTAGTTTTACTATTTATCGGTAGATGTAGTGTAAAGTGGGCGGAGCTTAACGTTCCCTCAACCCGCAAATTGTCACGCATTGTTACATAGTGAAATCTAATTACAACATCTCCTCTTTGTATTTGCTTCATGGTAACCCCTGAGGATTAAAATGGAATGCCTCGTTTCCAATAAAAAGGAGTCTCTGGATCTCTACACTCACCATATAAAGCACAGCAGCGTTAAGCTGTTATTTTACGCTGGTATTTTGTGAGAATATGTTACTACCCCGGTCGAGCCGACCCATTCGTGCTACAACTATAATATAACTGCAACATGGCTCTGCCACGTCAAAAGTCTACAACGTCATTTAACGTAATTTATATATTATGTAAGTATACGTTATTTATATCGTCTCGTTGGGTCAATTACACATGACACGAGCATGCTGTGTTCAATTCCCAGTGAAGCGTTGTGCGCTGACCTTGCAGGTGAAGGGGCGCAGCTGCGAGTGCACGAGCTGGTGGCGCTGCAGCAGCTGCTTGTGGTGGAAGCGCTTGCCGCACGTGCCGCACACGTAGCGCTGCATGGCGTGCGCCGCTTGCTTGTGGTACACCACCGACGACGGGTGGTTCAGTACCTGCAGCAACAAATGTTTCAAGCATTCCCGATTCATCAGATCAGCCTGCAAACAGTCCACTGCTAGACAAGGCAAAACTTTTTATTTGATACTAACTCGCCAGGCAGACATTGTTCTGCCCTTTCCAACGACCCTTCCTATAAAAATCTTTAAATTCGCAATAAAACATTTTGAGAGTCATTTATCGGGATAAAAACTATACTATCTCTCAAGTTGGACCAAAATGCGCACAGTGTGCAAAATTTCATTGAAATCAGTTCAGTAGTTTAGGAGTCCATCGCGGACAAACAACGTGACACGTAATTTTTATATATAAAGATAGGCTTGATATAGCTCTTATGAATGTCAAAATTTACACCAGTTCGCAAAAGCAAGACCTTCTCAAAGAAGAATCAGCAAGAAAATCAAAGGTCTTTTTTAAATGCCATGTTACATTTTAGTTTTCCTTTTAGTTTTTTTTTTTAATGTTATCTCTACACTAGAATTTTTTCCTGTATCGTACAGTATCTCTGTATCGGGCAGTTTACATACAAAAATTGCAGGACAAACATCTTATATGTAGGCCATACAAATACTTTTCGGGTGATAATAATCTAGGTAAAGTACTCTGGTGTCTATATCTGTTTTTTAGGGGTGTACGCGCATGTCGAATCTGTAGAACCCTTCATCTGAGCTTTTAACAATATATCAGTAGCTAGGGGGTTTTTGGCGGCCAAATTGAAAGGCGGCGGTTTGCTGCTCCTGTATTATTGTTTAAATAATGGTTTGAAGTGGATTTTGATATGTAAAAGTGGTTCCATTCTGTATATTTAAGTGTCTGCTCATGTGAACTATTAGTGGAAACGGTGAAATAAGTACTTTGATGGTGGTGTAATTCTCAAGATAAGTTGTCTGTCTACTTAGGCGTCTTGAGTTGTCATCGCCAACTATCAGCTGCCTTGCTGGCTCAAGTTGCTGTCAAAATCTCCCAAGGGCTGCACATATTGAGAAGCAGTGTACTATGAAGGATAATTATGCATTGTAACTTCAGGCTCATAGGGGCTAGAACCCAGAGCCGCAAACCCAGTTATAAAAAAAATCTACTATTTCCACACATGTGTGGTCAATATAATGATCCATTTTAGAGTAGGCTTTTCTTAACAGAATTTCTTTAACACAAGGGAAGACATAAAAGGAAGAGGGTCATAATGGCTATAATTAGCAGACTTCTTGCACCTTAGACGCTACTGCTCGTCTCCAATGTAGTGGTTTTAATAAAATTTAAATAAAAGTCAACATTCTGTAAGGGTAAGAGGGGAGGAAAAGAAAGGGGAAAATATGTTTCCATTATAACACTATAAATATGTAGAAATGATAAGTGACATCCTACTCAAAGTTGGTTAAAAGATTTTTCCTTCGTTGTTGTCACATTGTTAATCTTTATTTGGTAGGATTTCATATTTCCATATATTTACAGTAATTGCATTGCATCCTATGAGTGTTAAGTACATATTTTACTATTATAATTTTTTAATATTTATTCAATCTTAATTTTTTATTCATTCGGTTTCTGCTCGCAATACAATGTTTGTAAAAAGGAAAAACTATAACTATTAGTTACAATACCTTTCCACATAGGTCACATGCGTATCCTTTGGATGACGAAGTCTTATGTCGCCGGTGTGAGGCTGAATGCAGAGAGAGTGAACGTGGATAACCAAATGCTGCGCCGCATTCCATGCATTTGTATGGTCGCTCACCTTGATGAACTGCCTATAAACACAAAAAAAAAAAACGCAAAAAATTTAATCATAGCCCAAATATAAAATTTTTAAAGTAAACTTTTTAATAATAATAGTAAGCCCACAGGTAAACTTGTGGCAAGCAGTTCGTGAGTGGCGACACCACGGGCCATATCAGAGTTTGTAACTTTCCACCTTCGGCTTGCCTGTTGAAGCACTTCGACTTTATACTTTGATGAACGAGCTCAGCTTGTGAGAATGGTACTGTAAACCCATACAACAGGTTTTCAGCAATATAATCTCCATGATATGATGTGCAGGAGTTTTCTTTTTTGTTTTTAATTTTAAAATTGTAAGCCTGTTTTTGGATATTTGTTAGAACTAGAATCTACATAAGCTCAAGAAAAATCTTTGCAATTTTCTTTTTTTTTCTTCTTCCTTTATAGCCTACCTACTGTACTCATTTTCAGAAACCAAATTAAAAAAAAGATACTAAAATCAATGAAATACTAATGGATTTATAAAAAAAGTTATTTTCTATGTGTGTTTCTGAGCAATTTCATGCAGGAATAAAACTGAATCAACTGAATGCTTTCTATTGCTATAAACAGCCACTTCCGGGCGCTATTATATGTGAGAAAAAAGGATTACATGTAAGAAGAAACCAATCGCTCGTAGTTGTAACACAACTGAATAAAAGTTCTGAATTATTATAAACCAGTGCCTGACTACTATCCCAGCTGATGGTAATTGGTGACATTGGTGAAGATGATAAATAACACTGACTTAGATTAAACAAAGCCTTTTCAATCGTGCCTTGGAGACAATCACTTTATAATTAGATGGAAAGACATTTATATTCTTGTTATGACATCTTTACCTTAAGTCATGTGTTAAATTGAAATGTAACATAAGCCAATGACGACCGGAATTAGCAAATTTGAGTATTATTCCGCTATGTAAGTTGTTAATAATACTATTAAATATTAGAAAAAAAAGTGTATAGTACCTTGATATGAATTGATTTGCTTTGTCTGTTGTTAAATGTCTTGTCACATTGATTGCATTTTATTTTATTACCGTCTTGCACTTCAGGTTCACTATCTAATGGATTGGTTGTCTCTGGATATATAAGGAAAGCGAAGTTTATAACATGATTTATAAATTTAAAATAAATAATCAAATAATAACCATAAAGTGACATAAAGTAACAAAACGACATTCTATCATTATTCATGCATATACAACATAATATATACAACCTAACAAACCACTGCTACACATAGGCCTCCCATAAAGGGTTGAAATCATAAATCAAAAGAACAGGACACAATCACACTGCGGATATCTTACACTTTAAATGCTGCAGCGTACCACCAACACTCCTTTGTTGTCAAATTAGTAATTGTTTTTAACATTATAACCTTTGATATTGTGAAAAGATCACAATATTTCTTCCGATGTCAGGTCTACTTCGTGAGATGAGATGACGGTTTTCAGTGAAAATGTGACTTAACAAAACCGAACTATATTAAATTGTTAATTACTGTCATTTTATTTCTTAACACTCACCATTATTTCCTTCAACCACCACATTATTTTCATCAGTTTTAACATCTACCCTCTCAGTTTTCGTTTCTTCCTTTGCATCTTCATTTTTCACTTCTGGGGGCTGAACACTTAAATCAGGTAAGGCTTCGGGCAGCGCTTCAGGCAATGAAGTTGCTTGTATATTACTCACTAGGTTGTCTACAGAAGCTAAATCATTTGATTCCGGCGATTTTTCAGTGCTTTTTTCTGATGCTGATTCTTCAGATTTTTCTGCAGATTTCTAAAATAAATTGATAAAGTATTTCTATGATTTCATAGTGACACCCACATCCATATTTATAATTTTTTACCTTAAAAGCTACAGTGATTAACGGTAACTAGGATGGCGGCCTGGTGACCTCTCACTCAGGTACCAGCGATCCAGAACCATTTTTGTTATAATAGCTATTAAGATTATTGTTAAGACATTTTTGTGGTGAGAAATTAATAAATTTTAATTTCGTTTCATTTTCAACTTTCCTATTGTTAAAATACATTGTTACCTAGATCAAGTTTATTTCTTAAATAATTGTAAGTTCAAGAAAAAGTTATAAAGAAGTAGTTTTTTTTATATAGGATAGGGTGGCAAACGAGCACACAGTCCACCTGATGGTAAGTGGTTGGACCCACAGACATCTACATTTATCCTCAATAAAGAATCAAAATGCAGATGCGTCGTCACTCGTGAGGACTAAGATGGAATGCCTCTTTTCCAGTAAAATGGGTCTCCGGTTCTCTACACTCACCATACGAAACACAGCAGTATCAAACAGCCATTTTAAGCTGGTATTCTGTGAGAGCGTGGTCCTTCCCCGGTCGAGCCGACCTATTCGTGCTACAACTAATACTACTAATATAGCTGCAGCATGGCTCTACCACGTATACCATTTTCTTCTACTAAACACGCCTACTATAAAAATATTGGAAAAATTTATTGATAACTAGCGATCCGCCCTGGCTTCGCATGGGTGATTTCTGGATCTCCACAACAGCACCACCTACCGGGTACAAACGGGTCATATCTAAACCATCCAGACTTCGAGTTTAAGCGAGATTAATAGACAGCAATTGAATTTTATATATAAGAAAGAGAAAATATTTAATTTAGCAGACTTTTATTATTGTTTTATTCTACTGGAAATTGTTATTATCTTGAGCATCTCTTGGTCTTGAAACCTTTCATGCAGAATATTTTATTTTCAATCTATATTAGTTCTGTTCACACAATGAAATGAATATAATTCGTGAAGACTAGTTTCATTCAAAGTGCAGTATGTATAACTATCTGTTTAAATTTAAGAAATTATTATATTTCAATTCTAAAAGCATATCATGCCCTGCCGTTATAGGACGTCATTATAATTATCCCATCGCCTACACAATCACAAACCCAATATCCCACTCGTCCCGTTAGTCCAAATTATAAGAAAATTTCTTGACAGGGAAACCCAATAATTGATTTTAGCCCAACCCGGAAATTCACGATCTGCAATCGCGATTACGACAACTAGAGCATCGAGGAAGTCATGACAAGTAGTAAACAACTAGACACATCAACTCATATTATGATGGGTTGTATGCTCAACTAATTTATATAGAAAAAGAGTATACTCACTGAACTTTCTTGGTTACTAGGTGTTACATCCTTACATTGCAGTATGTTCTGCCCTGTGTGGTTAGTCTCTGTTTGATGGTCATTAAATAATAGCCTGGTGGAGAAAGTTTCGCCACATTGGGTGCACTGATACAGCACAGGACCATGTTGAGCAATGTGCGACATATAACGTCCCACACTCGAAAATACCATGCCGCAAATCATACATTGTTCGCGCGTTTGACGCGTACGTCCTGTAACACAGTTAAAAGAATATCAAGAAATGTTTGTATTAGACTTTCAACGAATAGTATATTCGGTCACATGGTGAATACCGAATATTCTGCGGACTTCCTGGCCGAATAGCCGAGTATTAGGCAAAAGTATTCGGCCGGGAAAGAAGTAGTGTTTATTCTTCAGAGCGTCTATTCTCTGGACTGAATCTGGGATTGTCTATGTGAAGAAAAAGAGGTAAACTACTGCCTAAAATGTAGAAAAATTAGCTTTTCTCTACCATTATATTCCACTTTAATTACGATAATTGGAGTGATTTATATATAAGTCAGTCCTTGACTGCTATCATTTTTATCCCATGATATGTGGTGATGCAGCCAAAAATGGTAAAACACATTGACTTATAAAGATGTAAAAATAACAAAAATGTATACCCATATGTATTTGTTACTAAAACAATAAGTACTCATTACAGTACGCGCGCGAGTTCATGTCCATCGGAGTCAGAGGCGACGCGCGGGGGCATTTCGTCCCTCCCTCGTCCACCTAGCCGCATATGTCTGCAGTCGAGTGTTGTCCTTGACGGTTGTGACGCGCGCTTATCGATACCGAAAATTAGTCCCTATTGTATTATTTTATTGCGAATAAACTATGACTACTCCGCTTCCAGCAAGTTCAGATAGAAAAAAAACCTTTTATAATACATAAGCAAGCACGTGAAATGGCGAGAATAAATGCGTTTTTCCGGTTAACAATGCTTTATATCGAGCGGCCCGTTACACTGGACTTACTAAAAGAACATTGTCTAGAATTCAAACAGAAACAAAAAAAAATGGACCTCTTCATTCGCCTTCTAAAAAAAGGAAATCGTGTAATAAAATGGGGAATTTAAATGTAGATGATTTCGATAGAAGTGTAATACACAGATGTATAGAAGAATTTTATTTGGCAAAAAAAATTGTTCCCACTTGTCCCAAACTTCTGGCGGCTATCCGGGAAAAAATTGATTTTCTCTGGTTGACTACAAGTTTACGAAAACTTCTGAAGGAGATGGGCTATAAATGGAAAAAATGTCACAACAAGCGAAGGATTTTGGTAGAAAGACCAGCTGTTGTATTTGCGCGGTCAAATTATTTGCAAAAAATACGTCAATATAAAGAAAATGATCGCGATATTTTATTTTTAGAAGAAACGTGGGTTGACAATAACCTCACATTTAAAAAGTGTTGGAGAAACGATTATATAGACGCGATACTGACTGACACCAGCTCCATGAACAGGCTGATTCTCGTTCACGCCGGATCCACACATAGTTTTTTGGATGGCGCAAAGTTGCTTTTCAAAGCTGGTACTGCTACAGGCGATTACCATGGGCAAATGAACAGTACGAACTTTAAGAAATGGGTGACTAACATGTTCATTCCCAATTTGCCACCATCCAGCGTTGTCGTTATGGACAACGTACTATATCACAGTGTTCAGGAAAATAAAGTTCCTACAAAATCAAGCACTAAAACGGTTATGTTAGAATAGCTTACTAGAAATAATGTAGAGGCTTCACTAAGCATGAGAAAAGGCGAGCTTTTTGATGTCATAAAACGGCATGCACCCCAAGAGAAAACTTTTAAAATGGACCAGCTCATCCGTAGTCACGGACATGAGGTTTTAAGATTGCCAACGTACATGTGCGACTTAAACCCAATTGAGTTAGCATGGGCAAAAATCAAGAGAGTTGTGAGGGAGTACAACGTTAACTCAGATTTATCCCTAACAAGATTGAAAGAAGTAACTGAGATGGCTATAAACCAGGTGACAGAAATAGATTGGTGTGATTTGATGATCACGTTATAATTTTGGAAGAGCATTGCTGGCAAAAATACGGATTATTGGAAAATACGATCGACAAATTCGTAATTGAAGTCAGCGACGGCGAAGACACTGATTCCGATTCTGCTTTGTCGGTTGTCTTTGCATCTGATAGTGATTAAATTACATTTTAAAAAAAACCTCTATTTGCCATATACAAGTAAGTACTTATCATGTTTATTTTATTTTATAATTTGCAAAATTAACTTAAGTTACAAATTAATATCAAATTGACAGCTTTTGAGTATATCGGTAGTGGTTATCGACATTACCATAATTGATTAGGTCACAGCACTGCCGCATTCCTCGGAATGGACATAAACTCGCGCGCCTATTGTACATATCGTTGCTCGTTACTTTCGTTTTAGTTGGCTATCATGTGGAAGTGCTATGTGTATGTACCAGTTCGTACACATCTCATTTCGGTACATTACTGCAGTTTCGTTAATTACGTCTATCTACGACGTTATTGAGATTTGAAACTGTGTAATAATGATAGTTGGTTACAAAAGAATAATGGTGCCAATTTATTATTAATTTTAAAATCTTTTAGTGACTTAACTAATACAGAAAGTACAGGAACTAAAACAATCTTCTAATAAAATAGAAAATCCATAAACAAATAATCCTTCGACCGATTTAATGGACAACAGTAATATCATAATGGCGTCGTTCTAATACAATGCAATTACGCGATCATCGCGCGAGTAAACGATGCGACCGTCGCGTGCTCGCGCGATATCGAAGACTGGATGTCCTTGTCCTAATAAAACGCGAATACGCGATCATCGCGCGAATTGTAGATGCGAGCGATGCGACGACACGACACGATTGTCGCGCGAATGTCAATTGGGACACCTATTCGACCAATATGTTTGATAGCGCGTTCGTACGAACTAAGTTCGCGCGAATAGATTTTCAAACAATTAAGTCGCGCGACCCCATCGCGCGAATGTCAATTAGGACACCTATTCGAGATCGGTATGTATGTGTTAAATTCGCGCGAACTTGCGATGATCGCGCATTTATGTTGTATTACGACAACGCCATAAACATACAACAATAATCAAATCAGTCTTTTTTACTTAATAAAATAAAGTTATCTTAAAATTTAACGAAACGTTTGGTTCATATCAATCGCACATTTTTTTTTAATTCAATCCCTGTTACAGATAGTGATGTATTCATTTTCTATATGCATACAGGCTTATAATCATGCTTTAGTACTGACAAATAAGAGCAATGAAATATTAAAGGTGGTAAAAAATTACTTCACGTACATCCGCTATAATACACATAAGTATAGTACAGTAATTTTTTTACCAACTTTAATATAATGGACTTCCGCAAAGCAACACCTGATTCTATTAATTAGCAATGAAATAGTTTTGAGAATACAGATTTGGTACTTCGAGACAGGCACCTGTTATTCAGTAATGACTTGGTTTAGCAAAAACCTGTACACTCTTACCTTGAAAACACTTTAGCACATTTTAATTATATGGAAAGACTGATTCTGGTAAATTATTTCATTCCTTAGCTATTAACATTTCAAATGACAAACCAAGCAAACCATTTGATTCAAATGTGTAGTCTAGAAAGACTGTCCAGGCCTATGGTTGTTTGATGGTAAAAGGGGAGAAGGAGAATCAAGTCATATAATGGCTCTACTTTGAAGTGGTTGTCTAGACAGGCCATACTTTCCTGGGAGCCTCTGTCGTACTTAAAGAAGCTGTGCCACTTGTAAGGCATTGTTTTCACAGGGCAAGAGTCCTCATAGCCTGAAGACAACTCTAGCAATCATTTTCAAGGAAATTATCTCTGCTTAGTGTGGAATTTAATTATGAGGGGAAATTCAATTTCCTTTAACTATTAAATTGATCTCTCGATTCACTTGTTTAATAACTAATAATGTAATTAGTGTTTTAATTTTTTTTTATTCTATAAACAAGCGTTTTAATTAGTGCAGTTATAAAAACGTGACCATACCTTTTGGACGGCCTCTGCCTTTCCCTCTTAATACAACAACTAGCTCTCCTGAAGTTTCCAAATGTCCAATCACTTCAGGTTCCTTTGAAGGAGAGATTTTAGGTCCTTGCTCAACCACAGCTTGCTTATTCTCAGTGTCACTATCTTCACCATCAATCACACCTTCTTCTTTAAAAATCCTTTCCAGTTCTTTTCCCTGTCAAGGACATTGGAATGGCTTTCATTAGATCAGCCAACCTTCATTAAACCAGAATGCAATGTATAGTGTGATCCAAACTACCTTATATTATTAAAAAAAAGTCAAAGCTGTATCCAAAAAACTAAAAAGAGTGAAAGAATTCACAGTAAATAAGTTAGACATAGTGTACAGAATAATTAAAGGTCTTAAGCTGGCTTTTACTTTTTATTAAAAGACAAAGACAGAAAAACTTTAACATAGGTCACATAGGTTAATGTAATTTCAAGTCATAGGTCAATACCCAGTCACTTATAAAGAATCAAAATATAATTGTTGTTTTTTTTATAGGACACGGTGACAAGCACAGTTCATCCGATGGTAAGTGGTTGCTGTGACCCATAGACATCTACATTTACCCTCAATAAAGAATCAAAATGCAGATGCGTCGTCACCCGTGAGGACTAAGACGGAATGCCTCTTTTCCAGTAAATTGGGTCTCTGGTTCTCTACACTCACCATACGAAACACAGCAGTGTCAAGCTGCCATTTTACGCTGGTATTCTGTGAGAGCATGGTCCTTCCCCGGTCGAGCCGACCAATTCGTGCTACAACTATACTACTAACATAGCTGAAGCATTGCTCTACCACGTAAAAAAACGTGTTTACCTAAATTGAAATACTTTGGCCACATTAAACATCTTATTTATGCCATTGGTTACTAATGTTGATGCAATGCATAATGCTATAGGTGTTGTCATTAGGTGAAGAACATAATACTATCTTCTAGGGATATGGCATATAAATGTTAAAACGTATGTACGAAATAGCCTTCAAAGTATTACTAACATTACAGCATTTCTATTTATTAAAAAGAAATTGTACCTGAACCACTTCCTTAAACCTAGTTGGTGTTTTTCTGCGCCTCTTTCCTGTCGGTTCATCACTGTCATTACCACGAGGATATTGACAGTCTTTTCTTCCTGATTTAGTTTTTTCTTCCTGTGGAACCTTAACAGTTGCTTGTTGTGCCAATTCCTCAGGGCACTTTGGTTTTTTTGGTGGCCTGCCTCTTTTTCTTTTAGGTTTCTCTAGCCCCGCCACCTGAAGGGCGATTGGATGCTCAATTTGGTACACCCCATCACTTGTATTAACTGTAAGTTTGTTAAATGTAATAAAACAGCTAAATATCTACATAATGTATACAAAGCAGAAAAATTATGATAAAATTAAAAATAATTTAAAATTAAAAAATTTGTACATCCAATTTCAATTATTAAGAATAACTCAAAAACGATTGGTCAAACCTTGATCAAATTTATATTGGACCACATGTTACGCACCAGCTTTCAAATAAAAAAGAATCATTGAAATCAGTCGTCCGGAAAGAAGTTATGAAATAGCACACATTAAAAAAAACATATCGTCGAATTGAGTACCTCCTCCTATTTGAAGTCGGTAGAAAATAATACAGAACAGGAATGTAACAAAAACTTTCATGAATTACTATCCATAAATGATAATACAACTAACTGACCTCTATCTAATTCAGGAGTCAAAAGAATAGACAGAACTGCAAAACAATGTCATTTTTTATTGAAATCTGAATTGTTGGTCATGGTAGCTTCTATTTCATATAAAATATAATACCTAAAGAAATTATAATAATACCTTCTTATGTAATTGATTGCACATTATAAAACTCAAGACTTAATTACGGACTTCGAGAAAACCTAGCATGCATTAGAAGCATTTTAACTAAATAAACAAATTACCTTTAAAAAAGGTGTCATAAGAAAAAAAATTATACATTATTTAAGAAATAACTTACGATTGTCCTACCATTTTGAAATCTGTACTAAATTTGTCATCTTTCATAGTCCCTTGCCAAAATAGGGTAGAACATTTTTTTCAGTACTTTAAGTTAAAGATGACTGATGCAATAATTTTGAGCTCATAGTTAGCTTGAGTAAAAATTGATGTTGATGTTTTTTTTTAAACTAAGGCAGTTGTCTTAATTTTAGACTGTAATTTACAGAAAGGTTATTAAAGGGTTACATTACAAACAAATGGAGAAAAGTAGATTTGTAGTCACAACATGAAGTTGATTTTATAAATTTTTTGGAATGACTAAAAGACATGAGATTTTTTATTTTAATTTTTCTGATAATTATCACTTCCTGGTTTAACACCTATTACTGGCTTGACATTGATTTTTGGAAACCATGTATGCTTGTTCTATCTAGGCTGGGCTGAAGTTAGTTGCCAGTGGTTAGTAATAGTTTTTAGGAACAAAATGATGACAAGAAGCAGGAAGGATGGACAGTAGCTTAAACTAGAGATGCAAATATACATATTGCACAATTACAATTGCGTTAAGACTCATATTTGCATTATTATCGATAATTATTCAATGTTATTTTATGTTTCCTTAAGCAATCCTAGGAGCGTGAAGTGAAGTGACACATTTCTAATGACTAGTGTCTGTACATGCATTAGTGTTTCAGAAAGCCAACTTCGGCCCAGCCAAGATAGAATTTACCGGCGTTATATATTATTGGATAAATGTGTTTATGAGCTAGAATTCATTAGAGACAGTGAAAACACACAACAATTCTAGATTGGAACTATACAATTTTTGCGTTAACACAGCTATCAGTAAGCAGCATTCCATCTAGGACCTGCCATTCTTTAGTCAGATATCATGTTTGTCAAAAACTACATGTAACAACATAAAAAGAAATGGTAGTGTAGGCTAGACAAGCCTCGTCTTGTTTAAAAATTCAAAGAGTCCACAGCATGCAAGTTAGGTTGGAAAATTGTGAAATGTGAATTTTCTCATTGATTAAAGCTGATAAATTTATCAAGATTTGGAGGATATATATTGAAGGTAACCTTAGAGTTATGTGTATTATGAACTTCATGATATAAAAAATTAAGATTATTTTTCAAAACTTTATAATATTGTTTAGGTTTCCTACTTGAAAAGATGAAACTTACTTTCATATATGATTTTCTCAGTTATAACCTCAGTTTCATTTGAGGGTGAAACAGACCTCTTGTATTCCTTTTCTCTTTGATAAAGCTCTCTCATAACTTTCTGTAATTAAAGACAGCAATCTAAAGAATTCTGTCATACAAATGTATTTTATCATACTAAGTAAATTTAAATTTTTACCTGTCCATTAATAATTAAGTTTAAAAATTCAACTGTAGCTTCCAATTGTATTGTACATCCAGGACAAATCGTTCGTGGTAATTGACCATCATCTGACACCTATTTTAATAAAATTCCCTATTAGAACCTAGCGATTAGCGAATGAAATCGGACATTATGATTAAATTATATTGTTAATTATTATAGGAATAAATATTCAACTCTTTAAATATGAATTATTTTTAAGCATTATTCTGTTTCATTTAGCACGGACTTGTTATATTATTGAAATGAAATATTCCAAACAAATATAAAAGTCAAAGTTAGCGAATGTCGCGCGCTATACCCTAAAATACGATGGGATCTTATCTTTATAAAAGATTTAGTTTTTTATTTGGAACAAACATTTATATAATACTGAGAAAATCAATAACATAATTTAATATCATATTTTATCTATATACAATCATTCGTTATAAAAATACGAAAAATTTAAGCGAAATAAAGATATGAAAATGTTAACAATGGTTGAAAGTCGGCCATATTTGATTTACTATTGAAGTCAAAACAATCACAATTTATTCTAAGTTTCATTTACCTTAATCGGTAAATACGTATTGATAATATCACTAAGGTTTTGATTATTTTCGTCACTGGAATATAACAGATTTCCATTGTCATTTTCTTCTCCACACAATCGACAAACAGTAGAATTATAAAGAAACACTTCCATCTTTATTACATGAAAATTAGCGCCATCTACGTCCTTGATCCTTGTAGAGTTGCTATCACATTTTTTTTTTCCTTTAAGCTTAAGCCCGGCCACATACATACGGAATTCTGTTTCGTGATTCCGTTTCGGAATTCCGAATCAGGATTCCGTATGTATGTGGCCGGCCTTAAGGCCCACCACATACATACGGAATTCCGTTTCGATATGCCGATTCGAGATTCCGAACGCAGCAAGTTCATATAAAATCTATGACCCGTCGCACACGTACGGTACTTTTCCGTTCAAAATTTTGCAAGCAAAACGGGATTCCGAATGTGTGTGGCCGACCCGTTTGGAATTCCGTATGTATGAGGCTGGCCTAAGAGAAGCATTCGAATTAAGTTCAGAACTTAGAATATTGAAATAAATGAAAGGTTGCGGTAGAGCTCTTTTAGAATTCGTTGTTACTCATATTTTCGGAAGGCTGGTCAAGTATAAGCTACCTGCACAAGTGGCGTCCCGTGCCTTATATTAGTAAGCAATGCATAAGTGATGTGTCCCTCACTCATGAGCTGCCTCGTTTGAGGTCCTCTTGACGGCAAATTGAAAGAGTTATTCGAATTTTAACATTAAAACACCTCACTCACTCGTTCACGGCCTCGCTTATCACTGACAATATGAATCGTGTCCCGAGTGAGTGAGCAAACAACTCGATTAAAAATAGCTGAAGTAGGTATCGAGATTATGTATTTTGCAGCAAAACTAAATAAGTGAGGTGTCGATATTCAAGGAAAAAGATTAATAAACAACAAAAATAATTTTTGAGTAATGGAATTGAAAACAATCAAGTCACATACAGGATGGCCGGACCAATTGACGTCATAAATTTTTTTTAGGTCCGGCAGGTCGTGAGGTATTCGAATTACCCCCATGTATGTTTGCAAACATCTGCGATTTTTGATAGTTTTCGAGTTATAATTTTCTTTAAATTTTTTAGTAAATTTCGACTTGAACGTCTTCAAAAATTAAAAAAAAATATTTGAAGACTTTTTTGAGATTTTTTATTTTTGCAAATGAGTCTTCATGAGTTGTCCTTTTACGCATGAAATAATCAACTTCGTACCTTTACTAAAAGTGATGAAATTTTTGGTCTAAAGTTAAAAATTTACGTCTTGTGAGTTATTTCTTAAATTTTTAACTTTAAATTAAAAATCTAAAAAGGCAGAAATTCAATATCTAAGCCTGTCTGAAAAATGCGCCAGGCTCTTAGCTTTCATAATCATAAAAAAATACTACTTAATAGAACTTATTTGGCTAAAATCGGTCTTCAAAGACAGCAAGTTGGAAAATTATTAAAATTAGCCAACTTAATTTTTTGACATAATCATCTTTCATGAGACTAATTACTTTGTTAAGTACTAAAAATAACTGCACATCACTTTGGTTTAAACAGTTGGACGTTTTCGGGTCATTTAAAAATTTTGAAGTGGTATTAATTTTTTCACTTTTAGTTTAAAATTTAATGCAAAAACGACCGTTTGTCGCGGATCATGGATTATAAACAGGGTAACTTTTTACCTGCATTAACAGAAGGATAATAAGAGACCATATTGCTATCTCTCTCAGTCTTGATGGCGTGAGGGGCCGAGCGCAACCGAATCAACGTAAAACAAGTTCGTTAGCTACGAACCAACTTCAGTTGTGTTCACATTGTGTTCGCTGCTACTTGTGTCGCCATTTTGTTTGCCTCTGCTCTCGGACTCCGCCATTACTTACTTGTTTGACTACTTTGCTCGTTTACTGGATTCTGTTTTACATTCTGATTTAGACGTTGTTTACTTGAAAGTGTAAGAAATGAGTTACACTTTAAGTGAGTATGCAGAAATGCATTATTTTTATGGAGTTGCACGAGGAAACGGCGTTGAAGCAGCGCGTCTGTATCGCGAACAACCTCAACGTCGTGGTGGGCCGCAACCGCCGTCTTATCCCGACCATCGTATTTTTATTAACACTCACAATACCTTGATGGCAGGCCGCTTTCCTGGTCAACGCGGAAATCATGAAGGAATCCTTAGAGCAGACCCTGATCGCAGAGAAGTGGTGCTGGAAGAGGTTGAGAAAAATCCGTCAACGAGTACGAGAGCTATGGCTCGTGCTCTGGACATCCCAAGGTCTTCTATCCAAAGCATACTTCACGAAGAAGGATACCACGCCTACCACATTCGACGAGTCCAAAGTTTACTACCTGCAGATTATGAATTGCGCATTAACTTTTGCTAAACCATGTTACAAAAACATGAAGATGATCCTGGTTTTTTCGATAAAGTACTATGGTCGGATGAATCAAGGTTTGAGCGATGTGGGATATTTAATATCCATAATTACCACACGTGGGCGATTGAAAACCCACACTCTGCGAGAGCTTCAACGTTCCAACATCGTTTTAGCGTTAATTTCTGGTCTGGGGTCCTCAATGGCGAGTTAATCGGTCTATCTGAGTTGCCGAGCAGACTAGATGGAACAATCTACAAAAACTTCTTGGAAAATGAACTTCCATTGTTGCTGGAAGACATAAATCTTGAACTTAGACGCAGTATGATGTTCCAAAATGACGGCGCCCCTTGTCACTACGCCGTACAAGTACGAAATTTCTTAAATGCAACGTACGGTGGTCCAATTTCGTGGCCTCCACGGTCACCGGACCTTAATCTCATAGATTTTTTCATTTGGGGCTACTACAAGGAAGTAGCATACGCTCGTGAATGTCACAATGAACAAGAATTAAGGCAGAAGCTATGCGAAGCCCAATGTGTGGTCGGGGATAACAGAGAAGCTTTTAGAAGATTGAAACGCAATTTTTTACACAGGTGTAGGTCATGCATTACTGCTAGAGGTGGTCACTTCGAAAACTTACTGTAAAGTTTAAAAAATAAATTCTTCTACATTTTCATCTACTTTTTACATTATCGTTAATTTTCCTTGATCAATCTTATTTTCCAACATTCTCTCATCATTAATTAGCCTCATGAATGATGATTATGGCGAAAAATTAAGTTGGCCAATTTTAATAATTTTCCAAATTGCTGTCTTTGAAGACCGATTTTAGCCTAATTAAAAAAATTAGTACTTAATAAGTCCTATTAAGTACTAATTTTTTTAATTTTTTTATAAAAGCCGGGAGCCTGGCGCATTTTTCAGACAGGCTTAGATTTTGAATTTAAAGTTAAAAACTTTAAGATATAACTCACAAAACGTAAAGTTTTAACTTTAGACCAAAAATTTCTTTACTTTTAGTAAAGATACGAAGTTGATTATTTTATGCGTAAAAGGACAACTTATGAAGACTCATTTGCAAAAATAAAAAAATCTCAAAAAGTCTTCAAATTTTTATTTTTATTTTTTAAGACAGTCAAAAGGAAATTTACCAAAAAATTTAAAGAAAATTATAACTCGAAAACTATAAAAAATCGCGGAACATACATGGGGGTAATTCGAATACCCCATGACCTGCCGGACCTAAAAAAAAATTTATGACGTCTATTGTCCGGCCAACCTGTATATGAGTGTGAATATAAAATCATGCGCACTTGTTTGTGGTCTCTAATTTTATTTGCGTCCACTGATAACGCCTGTTGTAACATAACAATTTTATAAATATAATGAATATGGTAACACAATATTTCATCCTTTCAAAAAACTTTTGGAAGGAGGCGACTCGCCTTGTGAAATGAATATACCGACTAATTATTCCTCACCTCAAATGAAATGAGGTGAGGAATCATTAAAGCGAGACTAATGATTCTTATCTCGTGAGTACCTCGCTAGGTAAAATGAGGTACTCCTCATCCTCAAATAATATAGATGAGTAGCCCATGACTACAATGCATAAACCATAGAGATAGGTTTCATCTATTCATATCTATTCATGTTCATGATGAGACATACCCATGAACTAAATCAATCGTCGTATCAAGTATCGACTACTTAATGACGTTTCGAAACAACAGAAGTTTCGTGAAGAGCGTGGAATAATCATAAGTCCACTTATAGAGGCAAAATTATCTAATTGCACAGAGCAACATAGGCCAGCGGTGGACCGGATAGCCATAAAGGCCTATTATATTACATGATTTCGCAGGCCCTCCCCGCAGGAACAGGGTAGTGTACTATGAAACAGTGAGCCTGGATCTCTAAACAGGGCGACCGAGAGGTTCCGACTGCCCTGCTTCCCTGCCGCGCTGTGGATCGTGTAGTGTAATAAGAGACAGAGATGCAGGGAGCTCAGTTACGTGGTTGCGGCCACGTAATTGTGCGCAGAGTCTACGCGTCTGTTTATTATTTAAAGTTCTGGTACGTCGATCTACTCTCGTAAATCAATGTTCGTAACTATGTCGTGCACTAAAGAAAATGATGTCCTTCTCAATGTCATCGACATCTACTGAGATATGCCTTATCTTTGGAGGAAAGAGCACAAGGACTATTCCAATAAATAAATAAGAAGCGAAGGCTTTAAAGTACTTCTACAAATTTATAAATCTTAGGAGCAAATATTTTTATCACCCACATTTTCCTGTCCTTCCTTTTATTAGCTTGGACTTGCATGGTACCGACAGCCAAAGTTACCACTAAAGCAATTTTTGACGTTTAGTAGATAAAGTCGGCGCCATAATGCTAGCATTCTAGACATGTATATGTTTCTACGTTCGAGTAACGACTGAGGCAGAAAGCTATTTCTAGCGTAAGTATAATAAGCAGCGCCCTGCCTGTAAGGCAGGGCACACGATAGACAGGGCCCGATAAATCGTTTAATGTAATAGGCCTTATAGCGTTTTCTCCCGATACAGAACTGTCTGTCATTTTTAAGGGGGAAATCTGCGCAAACAAAAACAATCGTCTGACTCACCCATAAGAATTAAAACAATAAACTAACGATTTCACATATATAAATTCATATACATTATAACAGTATCGCTCGGGGAGAGCGACAATTTGGATACAGATTCGGATCTGTCACACGTGCATTAGATTATTTTTTATAGAGAGTCCAATGAGTCCTTGGTATCACCAGCTTTTTCAGCATCAGCTTTCCCACTGATCTCAAAAAGATCATGCTAGAGACAACTTTAATAAGTAACAATTAAAATTAGGATTTAGGGATTTCTAAAGAATATTCTGATTTCTTCTATGCAAGAAATTATTAGGGAAGAAAGGTTCTCGAGTGGCAGCAGCCTTGTACTGGTAGGCGAAGTGTAGGGCGACCCTCCATTAGATAGAGCGACGACCTGGTAAGACTGCAGGAAGTCGATGGATGCAGGTGTCTCAGGACCGTGCTTTGTGGCATTACTTGGGGGAGGTATATGTTCAGCAGTGGAGTTGTGAAGGGTTGTAATAATGATGATGACGATGACGATTGTATCCAAGAAACTTAATTTAATTTTAGTAATTTATCTTCCATCTACGGAAGTTGTCCAAGAGTTAATCACTATAAACGACTTATAATTTTGTGTTACCTTTACAGCCTATTAAAGTCCATTGCTTAACATAAGTCTCCCCCATAGATTGGCTCATAGGGGGATATTTTTCATAGTTGCCACGCTTCGTAAGCGGGATGGCAACTGCAGTTTATTATTTTTAGTCGTTATTAGGAAGATGCTGCTGCCCATCTCCGGAATTTTCCCCTCTGTCGCTTATTACGACACAAACGGGATTATTTGCAGTCGTGGATATTCCTATATCGCCACTACATGGTTAATAATATTAATTTTGTGTCATACAAAATACGCGCTTAGACGTGGAGTTGCGGAAAACAGTTATTCAATTCAATTTATTCAATTAATTTTGTGTATTATTTTGTATTACTTAAATTATTGTATTATCTATGGTTTCAACCTGTCAGTGTGACAGTTATGGAATATGGCAAGGATAAGGAGTCATAATTTCTCTCTCTCTCTCTCTCTTTTGTTAGCCCTTTCCGGTGTAGTCACTGGGGTTGGGAGCCGTAGTTTCGGTTTTTATTATTTTAATCACTAATAATCCATCAAAATGAGAATCTATAAGGATATTATTACCGGTAAATATTAATAGTATGATGTTGTGGATACATTACACTAATTATTTCAGTGATTTATTACAAAAACTGTCAGTGATAGTGACATTTTACTGAATACTGATGATGTCTCGTAAATTTTCGCATCTCAAATTTTTTGCCACATCGGCAGTTTTGGAGTAAGCTTTTGTGAATAAATCATCAATATGTGATATGTTTGTGTCATTGTTTTAGGTGACGAGATGTTCTCGGACACATATAAAATAAAATTAGTCGACGAAGTGATCTATGAAGTCACCGGTAAATTGGTGACTAGATCACAAGGCGATATTAAAATTGAAGGCTTCAACCCGTCTGCTGAAGAAGCGGATGAAGGAACTGACGCTGCCGTTGAAAGCGGTGTTGACATCGTATTGAACCACAGGCTAGTGGAGACATATGCTTTTGGAGACAAGAAGTCCTACACATTATACCTTAAAGATTACATGAAAAAGTAAGTTTTTGTTTTATATGTGTAAGAATAAGATGTGACTGAAATACTATTCGTGGTTCAATAGGAAAAACATTATTTAAACTCTGTTTAAATGTTCATATTGTATTGTGTTAGATAATGTATATGTTAGATATTTCTTAATAATTTGATTATGATTTCTATTTTTAATTATGATGAAGTCATATTAGAGGTGACAATATAATATCGTATCTATGCTTTGACTGTTACATTCAATGTCAAGTTTATCCTTATCAGTAAGGAATGCAAGAGAACATTGTCTTTGTTACAAAAGTTAGATCAGAGACTGAAAGTTAGCACCTGAACAAATCTCTATATATATAAATCAATTGCTGTCTGTTAGCCTTGCAAAAACTCGAAAATTGCTGGACGGATTTTTTTGTGTTTGAGTATGTCACTGGATGGTTTAAATTCACAATTGGACACTGTAGGTGGCGATGTTGTCGTGATCCAGAAATCACCAGTGTGAAGCCAAGACCTATTGCCAGTACTTTATAAAAAAGTGTACTTACATACTTCATTAACCCATAAAGTTCAGAGTATTTATTAATGATGTAATGTGGGAATAAAATTTACATTGAGGGTAAAATTTACATACAAAATTACATTAAGTCATCAGTGCTTGAAGCAAACACTCCCTCTTTGCTTTACACTGTCCTGCTAAAAGTTCTAAAACTTTACAGGATATACAGCAATGTGTTTCCTAGTTTTCACTATTAAGAATCAGTCTTTTACACCAGATAATCATGATAAACTCAAACTACACAATGAGTTAAGACTATATTTATCATTATCATCATTACCTCCTTTCACAAGCCCACTGCTGAATGGAGATGACTCTTATCTATAACGGAGACCTCCCTCAAATAATGTTACAAATCATGATCATGACTTTCCTGTATCTCTTACCAGGTTGTCACTCCATCTAGTTGGGGGCTGCCCTACACTTCGCTTACCAATGGGGAAAAGGTTCTCATTTTCCTCATTGGTTATCTCTCCTTTAAGTATATTTCCAGCCCATTGCTAATTCAGTTTACTTATCCTTTGGGCTGTCTGTTACTGTAGTTCTACTGAAGATTTCTTCAGCCTATCACACAGAGAAACTCCAAGCATAGCCTTCTCCATAGCTTGATGAGCGACGTTGAGTATCCTCTCACAACTACCAGAAACGGACATTATCTCGGATCCATATTTTATCATCAAGTTGTGAGGTACAAATGACAAGAAAATGTGTCAAATCTCCCATTAAGACACCACTCCTAAGATATGCTATGTAACACAAATTTTGATTTGTTGGAGTTTGAGTTTTGACTCAACATTGCCTCTAAAGGGACTTATATTCATAAGTCCCTTTAGAGACAATGACATATGTTTACTGGCATAGGCTCTAAGTGGGGGAACTATTGTGCTTACAGTAGTTACCTATTTCCTTAGAACTATGTAGAAAGTGGAGGAGTATAATCTACTTCATGGTTTAGTTTTAAATGCTGGTTGGTAGTTAAATATATTCTGATAAATTAATTGATTTTAAGAGCATAATAGCACCATAGCATCATCTAATACCAATGAGTGATTTTTGATATCATTCTGTTGGAGCTTTTGATGCAAGATTAAAAAACTTTAGTGAAAAAACAATCATTTTTATAATGTTTGTTCATGAAATAGAGCTGACATAACTTCTCAAAATGTTGTAAACTATTGATAATTCAAAGATTTGTTATATTTGATGCCATTTGTATTAAACTTATATCTGTATATAAGTTTGATTTTAAATAGATATATTCCTTCTTTTATACATGTTATTTTAATCAATTTCGGAAGTTTAGGTCATACATTTGGGTGTATTTTATATGTATGTGACATAAAATAGTTTTTTCTAATCACAGTTATATTATTGATTTTACTTCATTTTATTGAAAGAGCGTACTTTAAATGTTTTTACTTCATTATAAATTTTACTAGATCTAATCTCATAAGAACCAATATTCATTGACATCTGTTTATATTTGTTTTATATATTGTACTTCGTTTTCTTTTAGATTAGTTGCTAAATTGGAAGAGAAATCTCCTGACCAAGTAGAAATATTCAAAACCAACATGAACAAAGTCATGAAAGACATTTTAGGCAGGTTTAAAGAACTCCAGTTCTTTACGGGTGAATCAATGGACTGTGATGGTATGGTTGCCATGATGGAGTACAGGGATATTGATGGAGTTTCCACACCTATTATGATGTTCTTTAAACATGGCTTGGAAGAGGAGAAGTTCTAATTATACACTATAGGTGTTATTACTTATAACATTGTAATTTTACATTACCAGCGCCTAACACTCATTCTTATTTATTTATGTAATCTGCATCTGGGACCGGCTGCTGTTCCCAATCACAAGGCTGAACAATTTTGTAAAAAAAAATGTTGCATACTATAAATAAATTAATCTACAAACTGTATACGGTTTTTTCTTATTCTGACAACCATTCAACCATTAACTGTTACATTAAATTAACATTCACAGTTAAATTAATTTTATTAATATCACATAACTATCCTGACTCATAATTTCAGACCAATAGATGTCACTTTCTGATTTGTTAAATGTAGTTCTGAATAATACATCTTGATGGCGCTGATTCAAACTATTAATAAAAAATTCTAATGTAATATTTTAATACATTTATTTAAGTGTTATTCATGTAAATTATCTTCTGGTGAACTAAGCTTCATCAAGGTTGACGGCTTTGTTAGAATCAGGGTCTAAATTAGCGCTTAATTAAGATATTCTAAGATACGCGGTATGACGTCCTATCACTCATGTTATAATTCTTTATCAGCCCATAAAATCTACCAAGCATTGAATCTCCGATGTTTTAGGAAGTATTTGCCTTATAGTACGGCCGCTGAGTTATTACCGATTTGACAGATTATTCTTAAATTAATCGATATAACCTTGCACGAGCGACACATTTGCCGAATGATTTAGAATACCTCTTTAAAATAAAACTTTATGTCAAAATGTCAGAATCAAGTAATTTTCCAATAAACTCTGTTTCAAAACTTAAAATAGTTTGTAAATAATATGAAAACATTTATTTTTTGTTCTTTGGCGCGCTTGTACAAAGTTACATCGTGCGTCTAGTTTTCATAGGGATGTGCTTGATAGTATTCGGTCCGAATTCATTGGAATAGATATGATATTTATTTTATTTGGATATTTTTATTTTACTTATTCCTTCGAGCAACTAGACTATAATGCTACCATTTTTTTGCGTCTCCTAATTGCACTGTGTTGTCAGTATCTCTATGATTTTTAAGATTTATGTGTGATCCAAAGACAGAAATACTGTTTTCTATGATTTAAAAATAAATACAATTAAAATGATTATGTATAATTTTTAACATTCATAATATATAAAACAACATTTAGTAAATATAATTTTCTCCCTCAATTAAGCAATGTTATAGGTGTATTTTTTTAAGTAATTGGCGATACTATTCTGGCAACACCCTTACCACCGCTATTTTAATCTGTTTAGTTGTCTTCCGTACTCTCGTGCGCACAGACTACGTTCTCTTGTGTAACCGTTGTTTTTTGACTCGGCTTTCTCCTGTTTATCGTTGCGCTTTATTGGACTAATTTTGTTTGTGTTTGGTAATTTTGTTGAAAATTCCGAAACGAGGAAAAACATTGAATAGTCAATGTCGTGAGCTTGTACTAAAGCTACAGGATTACTTTGAGCGTGAGTCACAAAATGGCGGCCCTTTGATTCCTGTCACTCAAGTGAAAGATCGGGTTTCACAAGCTCTTGGAATTGGTGTCAAAACACTATATAATATAAATAAAGAAAAATTTGGTGCTTCTGGAAGTGAAGATAATGTTTTACGCACTCCTAAGAAAAAACGAAGACAAAAGCCCGTGACAGGTGTTGATGTTTTTGATGCAGATGCAATAAGAAACCACATATATGGTTATTATACTAGGAACGAGTTTCCAACTAGACGTTTGCTTTTGGTCTCTTTAAAAGAAGCTGGCTTGTTTAAAGGCGGTAAAACGGCGTTGTCAAAACTATTGCACAAAATTGGGTTTGAATATAAAAAAACGAATAAAAGGAAAATATTAATGGAAAGATTTGATGTAATAATTAAAAGAGCGAGTTTTTAAGAGAAGCCAGAAAAATCGAGTCTTGGGACAACGTCGTTTTTGTTGACGAAACATGGTTAAATGCGAACCACACTGTGTCACGCTCTTGGACTGACGAAACAAAAGCATCAACCTCAAAGGTTCCAATTGGAAAAGGATCGCGACTGATAATTTGTCACGCCGGTTCTGCTGGAAGTGGTTTCTTTAAAAATAGACTGCTGGCTTACGCGTCAAAAAGTACTTCCGATTACCATGAGGAGATGGATACAGACACTTTTACGAATTGGTTCGAAAATCAATTATTACCCAGCCTGCCAGAGCCTTCTATCATAATAATGGACAACGCTTCATATCACTCGAAACAAGTGAATAAAGCGCCTACTCAGGCCGACAAGAAAGCTGATCTCGTAGCATGGCTACACCAAAATGGAAATGAAACTACTGCCGAAATGCTAAAGTCTGACTTAGTAAAGTTGGTACGCGAAAATAAAACATCAAGAGTCCGTTATGAAGTAGATGAGATAGCTCTAGCACATGGACATCGGGTACTTCGAATTCCGCCTTATCACTGCCAGTACAATGCCATTGAGCTAATATGGGCACAAATCAAAGGTATTGTTTTTTATCGCATAAGTTATGAATATGAATAATTTGTACTATTATAACATCCAATATTCAGCATATAAGTAAAAAGATACATAACTAAGAAATAAATATCTCATGTCCCTTACATGTAGGTAATTGTGTAACATTTCGTTTATTTAATGTAATAAATTAACGTTATTTAATGTTTACATTACAGGTTACGCAGCTCGTAATAATACGACTCCGCCATTCAGTACTAATAAAATGATGGGTCTATTAAAAGATGCTTGCAGCAAAATAACGAATGAAGATTGGGTCAAGGTCGTCGAAAAGACTCGAAAACTAATAACAGAAGATTATGAACGCGATATAAGAGTGGACACCATTATAGAGAATGAAATTGTCATACAAGTGACTGATAGCGATGACAGCTCTGGCGAATCTGGTTCAGAGTCTGAATAATTGTTTTAATAAATGATAGGTAGTCATTTATTAAAACATCTTGTACCTACTCTATTCATTAAAATGTGTAACAGTGTTTACAAATTTGTTTTATTTTGATATGTCCTCGACCAATTATCTGCGCCCATCAAGGATACTCCACCTAATAAAGAACCTGTGTCTTTAACTATTATTGTTTTGATTTTATTTAATTACACACTATACTAGAATATTTAAAAACAAACTGTTCCCAAATGATATTAGGGTTACTGGTTCAGTAACTTCACTAGTATTGTCAATTCGTCATGTGTCAAATCGGTAATAACTCAGCGGCCGGACTATAATCGTCAAGTTTGGCAGGCAAATAATACCAGAGTACCAAACTACCACTACCACTTGAATGATCACGATTTTCGAACGTCAGTCTGGGTCAAAGAGATTTAAAATATATATATATACTATAGAGCGGACATTGGGAAAATTTATACAAAACTAAGCTCGTGCGTGTGTGACGCCCTCTAGCTAAAAATAGCAAAACTACGCTATCATTTATTAAGACAACATTTTAGCTATTCCCCAGTAGGTGACGCTTAAAATATAAGATCGTTTTAGGAATGTTACCCTTTCGATACCAAAGTATCGATAATGTTGTTGAAGGTTACTAAGTTTGAAATGCTTTAAAATATAATATTAGGGAATAAAATGATTGTTTCATTGTATAAATCTATTTATCATGACTTCCATCACACGAAAAAAATCACTTTAACTTTTTATGCCTATTTAGTGACATGTAATAGAATATTAATTTCCTATAACTAAGAATCAATTCAAACAGCAGTCACTTTGGTTGCCGCCTTGGTGGCATCTTGGATGACGTCACTCGGTCCATTAGAAGCTATAATAATAGCATATCATTGGTCGATCGGCGTTGAATACACATCAAGAAACGCCAAATTCAATAAGGGAGCGCCTCTATGTTTTTAAATTAGTTTCTTTTACAAAAATACACTTCAAATCGAAAATATTTAGGAAAACACTGAACATAAAAGCCGTTTCACGATAAATCCTTTTACAAATTTATATTCATACATTCATATTATAAATACGCTGGTATGTTATGTACCAATATTCTTCAAAGAGATTTATGCTCAACAACTTGAGACATTACTGACTCGCTGAAAGAAAGCATATACTGAACATTATAATCTGAAATCACGAACATGCACTAAGCAAGTGTTGTGATTAATGCTCGTTACTTCCCTGTATGTGAAGACTACTTTGCGCTACAGTAGGATAATACAGGCTAGTATTATTATAAGAAATGAAATTATTCCAGTACTTTCAACGGTATTTATTTAGAAAAATGTTTAAATTGTTGTAAATCGAACTCATAACTAATACTCATAACAACTTGTATCATTTTAATTTATGCATTAAATTCTCACTGTGCACCATTGCGATATTATGTACTAATGTACTAGAGAGGCCTTGCGGTACATCATACCCGGTACGGTGTACGGTTGGATACTTTTTATCTTTCGTTAATCGTTTCACTATTTCATTTCATTACTAACCACAGATTTTTTTGGTTATTTTATACTGATCCTGCTTTTATATCTTTAAGAAATTATAGTGACAAATAACCTGTTACAATGTAATAATAGTGAAAAATCACCTGTTACAGTGTAGGTAATAGGTAATCTCTATTTTACTTATTTTACAATAGCTCAGCTTCTAGATTGACAAATCTTTTCATCTATTAATTGTTTATATATACGCTTTCAAAAGGTACTTTCATCTTGTTAACACTTGGGCCCAAGAATGTATGGAGACGTCTTCTTCTCCTTTTATATTATTTTGTCAATTTCATCAGCTGCACTACTTAAAAGATACTACCTACATCAATAAAAATTGTTATTTTAAGTTTTTACCTTATTATCTAACTCAGGCTTAACCTACAACTTCTTGAATCTAATATCTTTAACAGTACAATTTTTTTAATGTCACAAACCTATAGCACTCTCCTATCACTGTAAGCCAGGATCTATAATGGTTTTGTCCTTGAATACCACCAGACAATGAAGCCCGGTATGTAAAAGAGAAGACTTGCTGTATCGCTAAACATCAACACATGAAGTATTCTCAGCATGTTCATAAGCAACACAGAAAATCTCATCATCATGTCTAAAAAATTTTCCCACCCTTCCACATAAAGTAGGCTACTTAGCATAGTTGGTATATGCTACTCATTTTTGTTGGTATGGGTACAGTATCTTTGACTGTTTTACCTCCTTAAATATTGTAAATGATTAAATCGGCATCCTGTATATTATTTTTATCGATAACCCCAATCGATAAACGTCGAATCCCGAAATCCATTCGAATGAGAGTGAGGGAATAGAGAGTGCACCTGTGCTTGCGCATACGCTTGGGCATCATAACCCTGTCCTGCGCCGATGGCTAGTCTCCGTTGAGGCTGGCCGCCGTGACCGAAATTCGTTCTGGAGGACATTATTATGGTATCCGCTGACTCACTTCTTCGTCTTATGCTACTCCGCTTTCAAATTCTAAGTACCGTAGTAAGGCATGGGTTAAAAAAGGTAGAAACGAGTTTTCCACGTTATAAAACAAGTGCTTACATATTTCATAACGTATATAGTATGATAATGCCACATAACGTATATAGTATGATAATGCCAATCATCTATGCTGTATAACAAGATTTCTATCAGGGGTATCGAGAATATAGTCTTGTGCGGCTATTGGAAACTTCTTTGATGTTATTGCGGGAATTCAGAGATTTGGGAGACAAAGTATTTAAGAAGATGCAACTTCTCAGCATTATCGGCATACTCGAGCAGAGGCGACTACGCATTCATGCGATGCAAGTGCATGGTTGCACTTGCATCGCATGAATGCTGTTCGTTTGCCCATACGGACATTGAGATTCTTCTGCATTTCAAGGACCGAGTTAAACGCTTAACATTGACTGCGATAAATGGGAAAGTGTTATTAAACGTGATAAATGGAGAAACAGGTTGCGGGAAGGTTGCTTGGATTATAATAAGGTATATTTTCAGTCCTTGCCTGATAAACGCGCAAATAAGGGAACATTAGTGTCTTTACACAGCCGGACACAAAACAATGTCAGAAATGCTACGAGCATTGAGGACGAGCTATCGTGCTTGATTTTTTATATTACGAACGTTTTTGCGTCCAACAAAAACCTGACATCAAAAAGAAACCTTATAGTATCTATCATAGGTGTAAAAGTGTGTATGACCTATTATCTGTCGATAGTATTTTGTTAGCAGTAGATATCTTCTATTATTCCAGTTTTTTTTTATAGGATAAGGGTGACAAACGAGCACACAGTCCACCTGATGGTAAGTGGTTGCTGCGGCCCATAGACATCTACATCTATCTATTACAAATCAAAATGTAGATACGTTGTCACCCGTGAGGACTAAGATGAAATGCCTCATTTCCAGTAAAAAGGGCCTCCGGCCACCTGCACTCACTAAGCGAAACGCAGAGGTAAACCTCTACTTCACGCTGGTTTTCTGCAATCTATATCAAAAAACTAAAAAGCCTACCGGAATAAGACCCTCGCCGCATTGGCTACTGTGCTACTGTGATACGTCGGAATGTCAAAAGGCCAGTACTATTGAAAACACTATTTACTTTTGATTTTGACGTTGATTGCTGGGATCAATGAAAATTTAATAAGTATCAGGTGTTTACTTATGAAACTGTCATTTTGTTCGGGACAACTCACACGTGGTAGGGCCATGCTGCTGCTATACCTATTATGGCTGCAGCCGGGGTGTGACTACGCGCTCACAGAATACCAGCCTCAAATAGCAGCTGCTTCGTATGATGAGTATAGAGAACCGGAGACACTTTTTACTGGTAACGAGGCATTCCATCTTGGTCCTCACGGGTGACAATACATCTGCATTTTGATTCTTAATCGAAGATAGATGTAGATGTCCATGGGCCGCAGTATCCAGGTACCAGGTGGACTGTGTGTAAAAAACCGAAATAAAAAAAATACTTTATTTAATCAAAATATTGCCATTTTATAACGATGCCTTTGCTATAGAAGACTGCTGCATGAGAATCGATGAACACTTTAAAGGCGTTTTCTCTTGATCTTCAGGTTTGAAATATTTTAACTGTGTGAAAAGTGGAAGTTTAATAGGCCAATGTCTAGAGCATATCGTTGATGAGGTATGGTCTCTAGCTTTAGCTCTGCTAATTTTGTTAACGCCTGTTGTGCAGTAACAACTCGGCCGGGCCGTTGAGGATACGGTGGTCAATGGGTAATGGTTCATGCGCGATATTTTATGTTACTTTACATTTAAAAAGCTTTTTACAGTAATTTTATAGTATGGGTATGGTGTGTACATTTTGTTTTATCTACTTTTACTTTTAATTTACTACGACTACTAAGGCTACTGGGAATACTTTTTTACTTTTTATTTATGTATGTAAATATGTATTGATATTAAAACCGGCTAGATAGAAACAGTACAACCAAAGAGATTTTCCTTAAACTTTATACAAAAAAAATACGAAGAAACTTCCCCCAACCTATTATGTGATGTTTCTATTATTTGTCGAGAACTAAGGTGTTTATCTGGTATATTTTCCTTAATTTACAATTACTTATTTTATCAAATCACTAATTACCTAATCTTTTTATAGGAATAATTTTATATTATTTTACTATCGGAAAGAATATTGTTATTAAAATATAGATACAAAGTGAATCGTGGTAGCTCAGGGGCTACAGGCTAAGCGCTTGCTTGCTTGAAAACATCGAGAGGAATCAGAAATGAGAGAAGGCTGTAACTTTACTATTATAATTTAAAAGTACGTAATAATTATTGAGTCATTTATGCTTTTATCGCTGGTTCGCTGGTTGAGAAGAAACATTGTGTACTGTGAAGAAATAGCAAGAAACCCAGCGGGACTGTTAAAAAAATGTCCTTTGTTGTCCAAAAAAGTTGTTCTTATTGTTGTCCAATAAATAAACATTAACGATTATGATTTCCATAATGGCCTTCAACGCTAACTTCTTTGAAATGTTGTTTTGTAATTTAAAATAGATATAATACATAAGTGTAATTTGTCAAACTGAGAGTCTAATAAACTATTATTATTATTATATTATAACATGTGGTTTTTATGAGTTTTGTATTGACTGGCGCATGTGGCACCCATACTTTGAACATCTGGGAGTGCATATGAAATAAAACAAAAGATAAAGTTTGAGGTATGTTATATTTATCGAGTTTGTATGTAGGTAATAACTACAATAAAGTACAGAAATGACCGATGCCCTATTACAACGTGAGTACACTAATCACAATTTCCAATATGTATTCATCAATTTGTATACTTCGTTAGGCATTCACTATGTATGCCTTAATTTGCTTTAGTCTTTGATTTCTCCATATTTACAAGACCACAATATCGCGTTATCTCCTTACATTCTTTCGCATTATAATATTACTTGAATCAAACTTTTGACCCTTTTCTAATGTGAAGATTTTTTTAATTGTAAACAAATAAGTTACACCAAAAGTATCAATTAAAAAAATCAATATCTGTGACGTAAAATTTGAAATAACAATAAGTGATATTATTTTAATACTCTTCAAATAAGTATTTTATAAAAATCTTTCTTACAAAATAAATGTTTATGAAAATAAGAATGTTATTGGCAAATGGTCAAATTTCACACAAAATATAAAAAAAATATGACAATTCTTTTTTATAAAGTTTAACTCAATAATTAAAAATATTAATAACATGGTAAAATGTATTTAGCGGTTCAATTATTAACAACTTTAATAGTATGCGTTTACGATAAGAATAGGGTTTCGTTTTTCGACAATTTCACTTAACTGTCTTATCATTTTAGTACTATCAGTGTCTAAAAGATGTATAGCCAAGAAAAATATTTTTAAATACTGTATAATATATTAAGTTTTCAACATTTTTTTTTCAATATGCTAATGCCATACCTCTGATGTCACACAATGTTTTATTGACCGTAAGAGAAATATAGTAATAATTGTTTTTAAGTGTTTTTAATTTCACTTTTTGCACATCTTAAGCACGACACTTGAAGTCATAATGCGAAGTTACGAGTAAACATCAGTTTGACATTCCTATTCTTATCGTGGACGTATGATATGAAATGTGAGAAACGGATAATCTTTATTTATATTATGTAGAATGCTTAAAAAAACACACGCACATGAGGTCAATATCGGAGTGTAAATTACCACTAGAGTTAACCTTCTATGCAATGAAGAACTTGCGCACGATGAGTATCAAATCTCATATTTATTAAATATGATTACCTTAACCTGTTGCAATTACTAAAATAAACTGAATCAGGTTTTCAGTTTCTTTTATATAACCTATTAAAACACATTTTATTAAGGGTTTCTCTAGCAGTACACTCTAAGTTTAAATGACAAAGGCTAATAAGTATCGACAAGTGAAAATTTAAAAAAAATACTATATTAGGATTGAGCATTACGAAGTGACCAAGACGTGACGAGATTGGAAAGTGGTGCTTTCATGCCTAATCAATATGAAATTTTGTGTACATATTAATAATAGGTAGCGACGAGCCATGAAATCTCATAGGATCGCTTGTCAGCCCGAAAGGCAAATAATATAATACTTATATCAGAAAAACACGAAATAATTTTATGATAATTTGAGAAGAACAAGATCGTAATAAATTTTATAAATATCTCAATATAAATATATTTACATTCGTTAATTTCTAATATTTTATTTCTCATATTGGTGTCTTATTTAATGCATACTTAATTTAGTAATCTATAAATAAAAAAGTTAGCTTAGAAAGGTTTTCTTATGGAATGGTTTTTGTACAAAATTAAAGACATAACTCCACAGCTGCGGAAGAAATAATACAAATCACATTATTTAGATGAATAATAATAGGAGAGGCTCCTCACTATCTGACATCAACCTCCTTTATTTAAGCTTATTTCGACTAGCCTGTACATTGTACGATTTTGGTCAGATCGTTCAGAGTGCAGCAATCGTTATGACACATTGCGTTGTTCCAAGGACAGTTGTATTATTATGTTTTATATAACGAACGAAATACAATTAAAGAGTACTACGCACGTCCGGACTATAAAATCAACAGAGAATACAAACTATACTAAAACAGATAGGTAGCTGTCAGTGCGTCACATTGCTTTGAACAACTCTGTTGGCTTTGCGGTCGGGACGTAAGTAGGCACTTAAAACGCTTTGCGACACGATAACTGTACTGCATCACGAATCCACCTCGTTTCTGTATGAAAGTCAAACTTTCAAACAACCACCCCCTTACATTTTATTGAAAAATAGATCCCTCACTACTTAAATTTATAATTTACAAATAAGGTACTTTCTTATTAAAACCGAATACGATTCAGGATAGTCCTCACTGGTCGTACGTACATCGGACTCGAAATACTAAAGTCACTAACCACTCTAGAGCACTACATCCCATCACAACTGAGTCCATTCATAGAAAACATAATGGAATGAAGATTTATTGCTAGAATTACAAGATCACAAACGGTTTAAATAGTTCATGGCGTGCACTCAACAATTGAAGGTGTTGGAATGGCTGCAGGATCGCGGATAGTCATCCGTCGGTCTTCCGTAGCCCTCTTGAATAATAGAGTACTCCGGTTCACTATAGTCCGGCAGTTCTCGCTCGTAGTCTCTATCACGATCCCGGGGAAACCCCATTACGGTTTCTGAATTTCGCAGATACCCATTTTCCTGCTTTCTGGAATAGCGGGTGTCAAGATTTCTCTGGAAGTTTTCTGGGTGGCAGACAACGCCGTTACGGTTGTTTTTCTTATCCGGCAGGGAACGTAAGGAACCATTATTTAGGTGGTGTGCGGGTGCGCCGTTGTTTAGTGTAAGAGGTTGATGAGGTTGGTGGGAGCGGCCGTCAACGCCGATATACGTGAATCCATTGGCGGGCATCGTGCCGCCGCCTCCCGAGCGTTGCGGCCGTCGCGTTGAGCCCTGGCCGCCTGACATAAAGAAAACGCTCGGAGAGGCGTAAAGCTCTAGCTACAGTTCCGTCACAGGAATAGGCCTGAGGCCGGGAGTGTGCGGAGGTGGCGCCGGGTATTGTGAAGGATGAATACCACGCACTATGCAATCCTCCTCAGTTGAAATCGGCTTATGATATTCAAGGTTCTTACGTCCCTTGTTCCACTTGTAATCTTTTAACTTCTCTTGCATGCTCTTACGGTATCGGTATAATATTAAGACTAAGGTCGCGATTGTGGCCACACATGCTACAACAACGACACAAATGATTGTTTGTTGCCGTGTGTCGTGTAATATACAGCCCAAATCATCGACATTTAGGGTCTTCAAATATTTGTCCTTTAAGTTATCGGGACTGGCGCATTGAATTTGAGTAAAGTTACTTTTTTCGTTTAAAAGCTCCTGAAGCCATCGTAGTTGACAATCGCAGAAGATAGGGTTGTCATTTAAGTCCAATTGTTTAAGTTCTTTACCAATAAAGACTGTTTCGCTAAGCGTTACAATAGCGTTGTCTCTTAGAGATACATGTTTTAGTTTTGGTAGACCGAGGAGTGTACAATCTTCTATGATAGATAACTTCTTATTGTTAGCAATAATGACCGTCTCTAAATTTACGTTGTCTTCGAAGGCACCCTTTTCGACTCGTTCCAACTGAGTTGCTCCAGTTATGTCTAAAAATTTTAGATTCTTTAGGCCTTTGAATGAATGGCTTTCTAGTTCGATAAAGTCATTTTGACCTATATACAACTCTTCTAGTCTTGTGAGTCCAGATAATTGCTGTGTGGGTACGGCACTTAATCTATTCCCTAAGAGATTAAGACTCCTTAATCCCGGGAGACCTCTGAACGCATTTTCGCTAATATTTGAGAGTCCAGCTCCATTCAAATCTAAAACAGTTAGCCTGTTCAGACCAGCGAAAGCATCATCAGGTAAATAAGAGAATGCGTTTAAGCCCACGTGCAGCTCTGCGAGACTACCTAAAAGACTAAACGATGTTGTCGGCACAGAACTTAGCTGATTGTCATCTAAGTACAGTATTCTTAGCGCAGACAAACCGGAGAATGCTCTAGGTTCTATTCGTGATATTCTATTCTGGCCTAAGTTTAGTTCTTCTAATCTTGGGAGAGTGGTAAAGACTCCATTCGTGAGCTCCTCTAAGAAGTTTCTTTTAAGATTAAGTACGGTTAAGGAGTTTAGCCCTTGAAAAGTTGTGTTTGTTACAGATGATATTTTATTATTATTTAGATGCAGTTCTTGCAATTTACGCTGGTAAGCAAAGCTCTTTGTTGGTATATTGACGAGGTGGTTATGGGAAAGGTCTAAATGCTGTAGTTCCGCGTAGAACTGCATCGAACTATCAATTGTTTTGATTTTGTTGTTACGGATGATCAGTCGCTGAATGGATGGGTTGAGGGCGATAGGGAGCACATCCAGTCGACTCTCTTCACACACTACGACCAGCGTGTCGTCGTTGCAGTTGCAGCCACTGGGGCAGTTCGCGAGAGCCGTTGCTCCGCTTCGCCAAGACAGCAGCACGAGTGTTATAAACAGCACCTGGAAATAGTAAAATTGAGTGGTTAAATATTTTTTATAATTTATGGAAAGTTATTACTAATAGTTTACTAAGATAAATTATTTAATAAATTTAAGGTGACAAACGAGATCTCCATTTATCCTCGATTAAGAATAAAAATGCAGATGCGTTGTACCCCTGAGGACTAAGATGCCACGTTTTCAGTAAAATGGGTCTCCGATTCTCTACACTTAGTACCATACCAAACACAGCAGCATTAAGCTGCTATTTTACGCTTGTATCCTGTGAGAGCGTGGCCCTATCCTGGTCGAGCCGACCCATTCGTACTACAAAAATAATATAGCTACAATGCGTCTCTACCGTGTAAAAACTACATAAACTAGAACTTAAAATTACTTTAATACGAGTATGTCGGAGCTTCTATAAAATACCGGTTGGAACGAGGTGGAATTGAGGGTATATCGAGAAAGCCCCCACTTGTTTGTGCAGTATAAAGTTCACTGTAGGCGCCGTGCGCGAGAGATTCTGCTTAAGTCATTCTACGAGTGAAGTCATTCTATGAGTGCCAAGATAGTGTCATGGTTCTATCCGTTGTGGTAATTTTTCTAGTTCAGGCAAGGAGGATTGTGTTGCTAAGAGGCTGCTCTGAGTTACACTGAGATAAGTAGTGTTGCTGTTGGTTTGCATACTTTGGTGTTATCATGTCATTACGTCCCTCACGTTACACTGGTGTGTGAATGTAGCGGAGACGTGTTATACATATATAGTTTGGTCGAACTGTAATTCCTCTATACTGAATGTATAGTGCGTTACGCTGTCCTATTACTGATAATGATTAATTGCGTAAGCAAGAGAGCAAGTTGAACATTCACTCTCACACTTTTATTATTTTTAACAGTGTATTTCCGAGATCAGAAGTTGGATCGCGTGCTGAATTTCCGAGAAATATAATATAATGGTAAATAAGTTTAATAAGTGTCTCAATGAGAGTAACTTTTTGAGTATTCTAAACATAGGTTTTAATTAAGTTATATTTGTCATATAAAATGCATTTACGTTTACATCACACTGTGAATACTAGCCACGTATTAAGTAAATTGATAGTCTCTCTTATTATAAAATAAAACGAAATCAATGTAAGACGAGCAAAGTTCGCAGGGGCGGAAGGAAAAAGGAAATAGAGTGATATTGGAATGAGAATTTTGCGCAGTTTTAATTTATTAAAATGTTCTCCGTCGAGGAGCCGCCGTGGTAGCTTCTTTGCTTCAAAGACTTGTACTTTTATTACGTTTTCTCTTTTCAGCAATTAGCGATGAGAAGCGCCACCGTGATTTGACTACGTAGTTGCAGAAAGCGCTTAATGTTGTTAGTTTGCGATTACAAACGGATGCAACATCAACAATCTCGAGCTTTATACAAAGCAGTGAGTTTGTAGCTTAAGTTTATTACAATTGCACAGAATAGAGCAACTCAATGCAACTCAATTGTAAATCCAAGATGGCAGCTGCATTTCTTTGCATAACTGCAAGTTGCAATGACTCATTATATTTTATTGTTTTACGTAAAGACTTTGAATTATTTTCCCTAACAATCGTCGGTTTTTTTCAACTCTCTTGCGAAATACTTAAAAATATAAAACAATAAATCAAGAACTGTTTGCAAATTAAAAGAATCAGTTGTTACTTTGTGTACTTTGTGCGGAAATATAATAAAAATAAACAAAACGATATAATATCTAACCCTGGTTTGAAGAGCTACCTAGATAGGACATATTATTATCATCAGTTTATTTTTCATACTTCTTTAATATATTATAATTTAGTAAAGACTTTTTTCATTAGGTTCTAGAAAGATTTATTTATCATTATCACCAGCTTGTCCAATGCTGCTCTAATGATCATGCAAATATAGAGACACTCCTTTTTTCACTCTTTTCACAATATTGAAGCGAGTTTTGGAAGCGGTGAAAGAAGCATAGACTAATAAATCATGAGTTCGTAAGTAATGTCTAGAAATGGGTCTCTCCCATTGTAAGGCGTATTTGGTATGCCTCCCAATCTTCGCAATCGCCGATCGGCAGATCGCGCACTACGAGATTTTTCACGATTTTGACATTGCTATTTTTCAGGTCTGGATATCGTACGCCTGACATATAAACAAAGGTTAAGGTCATACTGCATCTATCGGAAGCCATCCCGCTGATTACTTACATTGTGTTAGGATTCTATTAAACTATAATATATTATACTAAAAATATTAACAAGGACCTTAAATATTTATTACTAACTAGCTAGGTACGCCCGCGACTTTTGTTCGCATGGAATCATTCCCTTTGATTGTTTTAAATCCGATTAAGTTAGTTTACTCTGTTTAAACTTTAATCTTAGACACTACACTACTGTTTCAAGTCAAACAGTAATAATATATATAATGTTATTACTAATTAAGGGATATTAGGTCTCTCGGAGTCTTCTTTGATCAAGAATTATATGGTAAAGTGGTAATTGTTTGGTTTGTTTGGTTAGTTTTCGTTGATTAAAATAGTTTTAGTGAGCTATCCAATAATTATATTGTCATCTAAGACAAGGGTATTAAAACACTAATTAAAGGGATGTCAAAAGTGCCGAAAGTGCCTTAGGCCGAAACATATCGATATAAATTATAAATATTATATCAACATTGATTTTGATCAATAATCTCAGTATTTCACTAAATACTAACACTGAAAACATAATAATTGGATGACACTGATCTAGATGAAAAATATTGTTAGGAAAATAATATTTACTTTTTGTTAGGTTTGCTATTGCTGAAAAACTATCGTTTTTAATACGGTTTCGTTACTTAATGTAATAATACATATACAGTTGCAGCCTATGTACTTCCTTCTGCTGGGCACAGGCCTCTCATTTCTGAGATGGTTTTAGGGCAAGTCTGCCGTGCTGCCCCAATGCTTGTTGGCGAACTTCACATGTCTTCGTTATACATTTTTTATTCTTATTTCTCAGACATGCAGGTTTCATCACGATGTTTTCCTTCACTGCCGCGCAAGTGGTAAATCAGCACTTAAAATTGCAATTAACAATTTCATTGGTGCCAGCGGGGATAGAACCCAGGTTGCTCGCGTACTGTGAAATTTACAGCGAGCGCTAACCATCTGAGCTACCACGGCTCCTAATAATACTTATATCGAATAATAAATATCGATACTTTTTAATAACGTAAAGGAAAGAACATAATATAAAAGATACATCTGGATCGTATGTAAAGACAACTTAAATTTGAGTTGCGGGCGGTTAACCTTAATGCGTCAAGCTCAACTCGTTAGTTACGCGGGAATTTTTAACGCATCCCCGCGTATCCATTGTATTTCGCAGAGTCGGCAGTTTGGCTCGACACAAATCATAATCAAAATTCGATATGCAGGTCATTCGCAAACAGCGGCTTGCTCGTTTTGCCCCGTGTCCCGGTGAAATTTCCGCTAAAATCCAATAAAGTGCCCGGTCGGGACGAGCGCCCGATTCTGTACGTTGTTTTATGAACGCTGCAATGTTTTTTTAGGATTAATCCGGATCCTATACCTATATCCGTTACTATAGAAAACTATTCGCCTGGTTATTGGATTTCTATTCGTAATTTATTGAATTACAGAAATTCTGTTACGCTTGTTTTCGGTGCTTACCGAAATGGGGTATATATACGAGTATATGGCCACTACTAGTTGTGAGAATTTTTATAATTACTTCGTACTAAGAAGATGTCAAACCCCTCCACTAACACTTAAACTTTATGGTATGATATTAAAGTTCAAATTGACTTTTAAGTAGTATTACGCATCTTTTGTATGGGAATATAGAAAAGTGTTGTTTTTAGACTTTTTCAGGCAATTTTTTAAACTTTTCTTTTTTTTCCGTAAGAACCATCTTCGTACTTCAAGGAATATTATAAAAAAAGAATTAGCGAAATCGGTTCAGCTGCTCTCGAGATTTGCGCTTAGCAACACATTCAGCGATTAATTTTTATATTAAAGATATATCTTTTTTTTTTATAATAGAAATAATGGTAATGCTTTTAAACATTACTAATATTCTCTTTAACCATTTCTGGTAAGCTTAAAATGCTTGTGTTAGAAGTGGTTCACGACAGTAGTCGAATGGTGGATTCGAACCCACGACCTTTCGAGTTCGCGGTTCGCGCTCTGCCATTAGACTACTGACGCTTATATATACATTGAAGGATAACCAATGAAATGGTGATTGTGATAGAAGACAATTTTTAATGCCTAATTCTTTAAATTGAAACATTCTCTACATCATACTCCTATGAGACTGTCTGCAGCATGCAAAATCACGAGGCTGCCCCCGAGGCCGGTCTAACCACATTGCACACTATATACAAAAGCACACAAAGAGGCGTAAAAGTGTGATAGGGCGCCGTTTGATTCAATGGCGTGCGATAGCTATGCAAACCGTTTAATTGCGACTGCGTTAGGCTCTTTCAAAAATTCTAGTTTAGTCGACTTCGACGAAGTTCGGTTTTAGTAAGTTTTGCATAGCTGTGAAGCAGAAATGGAGACTTATAATTATTAATTTTAAAGTATTTTTATTATGAAAAGGATAACATTAGATCAAGATCCATGATATAGTTAATACAAAGAGAACGAGAATCTTAGTAACGTTATCAAAGCAATAATTCAATATCATTTAATTATCTTTATTATATAAAATTAAAAAGTAGAATTTGTAGAAGTATTTTTGAATTTACATTGTATTTTTGAATTACATTGTAGAAGCGTGCTCGTCGCGACCCCTGCCAGCCCTTTTCAGGGCTGCAATTCTACTAGCTGCGCACCCATGCCAACGAGGGTTAGGGCGTCCCCCCAAGGCGACGCACACCAGCTCGTCCCCGTTGGTGTGAAATGCAGCGCGCAAAGCGGCGATGGGGACCGCCACCCGTCACGCACAGCCCGACACGGCGGAAGGTGGAGGACAGAGTGCAGAGTTGGCACGTGGAATGTTAG